ACTTGCTATTCCAATTGCTCACATGTGAAGAACGTAACTGTGTGTATAAATCCAACAATTGATTGTTGAAATTAGGAAAGCAAAATGGAATCAAGAACCAGCCTCACCTGAAGCAGAGAGAAAGGCGACTTTGTGATGCAGGTGGAAGAACTGAGGACGTGAATATGGGAGCTGCTCAAGTGCCCTCCTGTCAACCCCCGTGCCCCAGTGCCAATCATTCCGTGACAAATGTGCATGAAATCGGGACCCTTTGCGTGCAGAGATTTCAGATGCTACAAGAATTTCCGCTGGACTTTTTGAACTTTGCGAAGGAGCAAAACTTGCCGAGTTCAAACATTTGCCTGGTGTTCTGCGGCCCAATTCTAACTGTTTCCCTAAACGTCCATACTTATTACTTTTTATTATACAGATTTCAAGAAATAGCCTGAAGCACAGAACAAATGGGTGTGAGGTTGGGGAAAGGGAGTGATCACAGTATTAACCATTTCATGTATAGTTTTACTTGTATAGGTGTGTGTGTATATATATATATATTTATATATATATATATATTTGTATTTATATTTATATAAATATTATAATATAATATATATATATAGAGAGAGAGCGAGAGATATGTATAGGTACTTTACAAGGCTTATGAGTAGACGTGCCATTCGCGAAGGGATGGCTGAGGCCGGGAGGCGCTATTGCCGCTGCTCTTTGTCGTCACAGAGAGCGTAAAGAGCGCCCTCTTCCAGCTCTGTTGGGAATAGAGCTTAGCTACCTTACCGCTGCCATCACCGTGAAGGCAAAGACGACATTGGTGTTCTACTAGTATGGTCCTGGGGGCGGGGGGGGAAGTGCGGGGCAGAAGGGTGAGAAAAATCAACTGTCCTCTGGTTCAGTGAGCAGCCCCTTTCTTCTCGAGGGTGGGAGCTGGGGGTGGGGGCGTGTCTCCTGCACACTTGCTCCCCGATGCCAAGACAGGAAGCTCTTCTTTCCCCCGTTTTCCCTTCGCTTCGGCCGAGCTTCGCTTGAGTCCGTTCTTGGTTTCCTCTGGGCAGAGGCAACTGGGTTTTTTGACACAGGTCCCCAACATGGTGTGCTCTTCCACGACCTCCAAGATCCACTTCTCCTTGGGCGAGCCCGTCTTGTCTTGCACGGGGGCTTTTCCTGGAGGGCCAGGATCTTGGATCTCCTTCGGTTCCAACACGATTGGGACAGGGCCCCGTGGGATCACATCTGCCTCCAGGCTGCCTTTCCTGCCTTGCTCGTGCTCTTGGACAGGGCTCAGGGCTTTAGTCAGGGCTCGGTTTGCTGCTACAAATGCCTCCTCGGTCTGCACAGCTTGGCTCCTCCTGCAATCCCCAGGGACAGCATCCGGCCCCCTTGTTTTGGCATTGGTCTCCAAAGCCGCCTCTCCATCTCCGACCCCAAAACTAAGGGGGGATTCCTGCCGTCCCAGGCGCCGAGTGGCCAAGGGCTTCGGAGCGCCAGATTCACTGGGACTCTCCCCATCTGACTCAGCTAGGCTGTGAAGGCCAGGCTCCCCGTAGAAGTCTTTGCGGTACTCAGAGTGCACCACTTCCAGGCTATGCTTTCTCACCACCACCTTCTTCTCCGCGCTTAAGAGAGAGCCCAGTTTTTCTGCTGATTGCACCCGCTTCAAAAGGGGGGAGCGGGGGGGCTCTGCGCTCTTGGGGCGTGGCCGTACCACCGGTGGTGAAGAATGAAGCTTGGCGGGAAAGCTCTGGGTAGTGTTGGAGCTGCCCACGGTATGGCCGGGAAGTGGTGGCGGTGAAGACTGTGTAGGCGAGGGCGTATGCGCCAGGGGGGAGAGGGGAATGTTTCCAGCTGACTTGCAGCGGGCCGAACGGTACTGGCGATGCAGTTTGGGAGATAGGCCATGCAGAGTGCTGGGACGCATGTGGTGGGACGTGGTGGCGGGTGAATTGGGTGTACTGGAGGCTGGGGAACTGCTCTGAGAAGAGGCACCTACAGAGGGATAAAGAGAGGAAAGGTGAGATGTACCACGGAGCCAGTGGTGGGATTCAAACAATTTACCAACCAGTTCTCTGCCCTAATGACCAGCTGGGTGGGTGGGGCTCAGTGGTCATGTAATCATGAGGGCGTGGCCAAGTCAATGTCACTCAGGTCGATGGGCGCTTTGCCTTAGTTGTTACAATGGTAATAAGGGTTAACCGGAGGGGCAGTTTCTGTAAGCAGGGCAACAAAGATGAGGATAGAAGCAACACCAGGATGTTTCCTTCCTGCCTTCCTTACAGGATTAGCCCTGCAAAGTGGGAAAAAAATAAAATAAGATTTCTTCCAACAACCGGTTCTCTGAACTGCTTAGAAAGTTAACAACTGGTTCTCTGAACTACT